CCGCGGATATTATGTTTTTTTTTTTGTTATTTTCTCATATTTATGTTTTTACAAATTTATTATTGTTTAAATACTCTATAATTTAATTTATCTAGTTTTTATACATTTTTTTACAATTGTAATTACTTAAATTATTAATAAATGTGTCATTACTCTCGTGAGAAAAGACGAGACGAGAACGAGAGCGTTTTGATGAACGTTAGTTCGAAGCAAAGTTTGTCCTGTCTCTTTTAACAAAAATCGAGAAGCATAAACAAAGATCATTTATTACATAACAAATACATCCTGTATAAAATCGAGATGAGTTAATAATAATAATATTAATCGCAGAGCCCAAACTATTAAGAGTTAAAAGTTGAAATTTGTCACAGGGTATGTCATGAAAATGTACTCTAAGAAAGCATTTGTGAAAATTTTTTCTTAGTGTACATTTTCCGCGAGAAAGAATATTTAGAAATTCTTATGCTTGAGGAGAAGGGGGTAGAGTGAACGATTACCTGGAATAACACGGCTTCTACTGTACTGTATTTTAGATACGGTTTTTTGCATTTTTCGGATAATCGAACATATTTTTAGACCCATCTAAAAATTTTCTAATTTCTCTCGAAAGACGAAAGACCTAATTTTTGCACACGGCGAAAACAGGTAAGATTGGCTATAATTCTATAATCTTAATCTTCGCTATCGTCACCTTTTGTCCGAGTAACGCCTGGTTCATCTGTTTGTTAATATACAGTATATTTTTAACGCAGAGGCCTACAAGTGGCCGAGTGCATAACACTACTAGCTACGTGGAATATTCTGGAATATCTTTACGTCTGTAGCACCTTAATAAAGACAGTTTCCCTTAGAATGTCTTCCCAGAAGGAAACCCTTTGGCCCATCGCCACGTGTAGCGTTGCCATATACAAACAAACAAAATCGATAGTGATGTTTGTTTGTTTGCTTTTATGGTAATTTTCATAAGAAATAAAACCTGAGTAATGTTTATAATAATTTGTTACTAATTTCAGCGGAACTGTTTACTTATGTTCAGCTATTTCTATATCGGTAAACTTTATATGGAAACAACAGTTGTGTGTTATTTATCCTGCAGATGATGTATGGATGCACATTTAGGTAGAGTTAAATTTTTACGTCTTTATTCTACTTTGTAGTATAAAGACAACACGTCCAACATTTCGCACACTAAAATTTAATTGAATTATTTTTACTCTTAAAAGGCCATTAAACTAATCTAAGTACCATTAACCCGCAGTTTGGTAATACGATTCCCTATATTTATCGAATTTAAATCTTATTGTAGGCACCTAAAGATCTATTTTCGTTTTTCTGATTCGATAATATGCTGTGTCGAAACACTGCTGTCGAAGTTCAGCAGCAGTGTTTCTCGACAGCACATTATCGAATGATCAAGCTATAATGAAAAACACTGAGTAGGGCTTNAAATAAGCTACTGTTGCCATCGTGTCAGTGTTTTTTTTATTCAAAATAATAAAAATAAAGTTAATAAAATATTGACTGATATTTATATAATTCTAAAATTGACAAGAGAACGCACAAAAGTCAGTTAACCTATATGTATACAGCATGAAAACAATAGTTTTTTCCAGGCCGAGTACTTTAATATTTAATCGATTCATTGGTGAAAGCCTGTTCTAAATTCTGTCTTAATATTTCAGAATACACCTAAGAGAATTAGCACTTATTTTTCATGCATTACAACTTCTAATTGAGAATGTTTAATTGTTTTCAACAGTGACTGACATAGCAACGGTCATTTTTACAGATGGAACGGAGGAAATTCGCGCTAGAGTTTGGCGAATGCCGGCAAATTAGAAATGTCTACGTTGAGTGCCTTATTAATTTACGAAATAACTGGCGTGCGAGAGACATGTTGCTATCCTGTAAAATTACGTTAAGAATAGTTTCTTTGAAAGAGTTGTCTGTTCTTATGTGTATTAAATAAAGCACTTCACACATCAAATATTATTAATAACTAAGACACATAAGCTTAATAAATTGTAACTTGCTACGTTTATTTATTTGTTTGAGTGAAAAACAATTATTGTTGAACTGACTGTTTATTTCACCTCTCTCTTTATCTGAACTATTGCTATTATATTAAAACATACTACTTTATTTTATGTATCAATCTATATATACAAAATACATCAAAATGACAAGTTAAAAATTTGGGAGATGGTAGAGGATGAAATTTTGAATGTTTTGATATCAGGAACCTATAGCCGAAAATGTGATATAAAGTTTCTACTGCTGATGGAATTGCTTGACCGCTCTTCACTTTGGTAGCTACCCTTCCGTCCATTGACGTCATGTTATTGATGCGGATGGAAGACTGTAAACACACAACTACAGTGGTCTAACTGAGCCTGTGTACAGGACGCTGTATACAGCATTCAATACCATCAGAGGGGAGCGTTGCATCTTACAGAGTGTTGGACAAAACATGGATCGTCGTTTCAGATTATGTAACGATGTTGGTTGTCATCACATTGAACATTTACTCTAAAGTAGTGCAGCCACTGATTCGATGTACAGTTTGATTGTACTCTACATTTTGTCAATAAAACTTGTTATAAATACTGTATTCTGCTATTTCATTCAGCATACCGACCGCATAAAACGTACAAAGTGCTGTAGAATCTTTATATCGCATTTCCGGCTATAGGTTCCTTATATTAAAACGCTCAAAATTTCATCCTTTAGAATTCCTTAAAATTTAAAACGTCCTTCTAATACTGGATGGTGGGGTGATGGATGCCGCCACCCCGCGGATATTATGTTTTTTTTTGTTATTTTCTCATATTTATGTTTTACAAATTTATTATTGTTTAAATACTCTATAATTTAATTTATCTAGTTTTTATACATTTTTTTTACAATTGTAATTACTTAAATTATTAATAAATGTGTCATTACTCTCGTGAGAAAAGACGAGACGAGAACGAGAGCGTTTTGATGAACGTTAGTTCGAAGCAAAGTTTGTCCTGTCTCTTTTAACAAAAATCGAGAAGCATAAACAAAGATCATTTATTACATAACATATTTTTTGGTCCGTCGAGGCGGATTAAGTCCGATAACAAAGGAATTGCAATCATTTTCAGTGAGGAACGTCTTTCCAAGAGACTTTTTGATACAGTGTGTTAAGCCTAACCTCGTGGAATATCGAGTATCGAGCAAAGTTCAGTACAACATTAGCAAGTGAGTAGAAGTTTCTATCATAGTTTAATATAGCATATCTCAAGTTAATATTCATCATGGACATTTCGCAACAAAAAAGGAACCGTAAGGTTATTAAACAAAGCATAACANTAAAATAAAAACAACAACATTTATGGAACTTATATTATAGCGAGTATATAATTGTATAAAAAAACACTTTTCATGAATATGGCAAACGTAATTTTCCAGCACGTAAATATCTTTAGATTAAGAATATCATTTAACTCTTGTTTATCACTGATGGCACCCAAATTTTCGGTAAATATAATTGAAATGCCTATGTAAAAGTGTAGTTTAAGCGACATTTTTCAAACCATTTCACTGTACTTTTCAAGTAATTTTTCTACAAGTTTTTCATACTTTCTATTTTTCTGTAGCCCAAAAACTGTTACAACTTTTTTAAAAAACGTACATGCACTTTGTTCATTGTAAATCAGTTTTTGACCAAATTGTGAATCTTGTATTAATTTTTTGATCTAATGTTCAACAAATATTCCTTTTTAAGCTTAGCGTCACTTAGTTTTGAAACATATCTGTTTAAGATATTTAAAATCCGAGCCTTGGTTAACCTGTGCTTTGACGAAGGTTTTTACTAATCCAAGTTTTATATGCCGTCGGAATAACAAGACCTTTTTGAGATCATCTAGGGGAATATTCTTTACGTTAGCTTGAACTGAAACAATTTCGTCTATCTAAGGCCATTCTTTCACTTCAAAATCATTTACTCGATCAATCGCAAAATCATAACAAAAAAGTCAAGAAACGTTTAAACAAAATAATTGTAAATATTCTGTAATTTTCAATTATACAACGATATAAAATTAAAATACTAGCAAAACACTAAAGAAAATAATTTTGATGAAATTCCATAAAAAATACTTAAATTTAAAAAACGCTAATACGCATTTTCTCAACGTTTAAATGTGCGTAGCTTCACCTCTTACGAGATTTTACTAACAACTCATTTTTACATTACTAATTATTACAAAGAGATATAATTTTTCAAAGAAAAAGAAATTTTTTAAAATATTGCAAATGCTAATCAGAAACAAAAATTTTCATTAAGTTCATCTTTACTCGAGATATATAGCCTATTTAACTTATGACCGTTTTTTCGCTTTCTATTGTGCTGATGAATCAATACTTCTGACTTATTCTCATTTATTCTACATAAAATTGCAACACTTAACAAAGAATTTTGAAGTGTTTTAGACGAAGAGATTCAATGTTTTAATCTCAACTTTCATTGTAATAAAGTTCCATTTCTATTACAAATCGTAAATTGATTTGTTTTCAAGAATCTTTGTCAATAATTACGTGAAATATTTCATGTACGCAGACTTTTTAAAAAATCCTTGACAAAAGATAGGTTAGTGGTGTCGATCAAACGAGAAAATCACGAGATATTATTACATGCCTGTAAACATGAATTATCTAAATGATCGTGAAGTGTTCCAAGAACTTGTTCAACTTAAAGTTGAATAAGTGATTTTTATTTTTAAAAAAAATTTAATGGCATTCATTTATATTTCACATAAACATTTCTGTACTCGGTACGAATTTAATTTCTTCTGCAAATGGTAAAATTTAAAAAATGAAATGTTTCTGTTTAATGGCTCATTAATGTTTTTATAATTGGTGGAAACAGATGGATCGAGCATGCAGAATCCACGTGTACGCGTTGTACCGATACGCATTGGATGTGTATAAATATGGACTTCTGCTCGTGGTAAGTCATTCTAAACTCGTTTAGATACCATCGAAGATGAATTCGTTGTTGATGATCACTGCTTGTTTGGTCCTGATCGGTGAGTATGAACTTCTAATTGATGATATTGGTTGTTAATTTTTTAAATGGCATCATTTGTTAAAAAGTTATGAAATTCTCGTTATATTTGTTACATTATATTGTATTTTTTTGTGGACATGAAAACACTCGCAGATTATAGCTTGTTTATTTCATATATGACTTAACTCGAAATTTATATTTATAGAAATATTTTGTTGAAAAACTTCAGATAAACTCATTCTAATGTTTCAAAAATTACAACGATTTGTATTAAATTGATGGAAATGCCATAAATTCTATTAAAGTTGAATTATTTACGTATTATGAGATCTGCACTCGATTCGTGGATGGCAATGCAACACAACGGCAATCTGCCAAGAAAGTGTTTTTGTCAGGGGATATTCTACGAGTCACTAATCTCCATTATTTTAATATCTATTCTCTACTATTCTACTACTTTAATCTCTTATTTAAGAGTTTGACATGTAAAGTAAATCAGTTTAATAGTGTTTCTATTTGACCAGTGATAGTCTTTTTATTGAAGTATGAATATGTTGACCTGTCCAAATGAGTGGCAATTATTTTAGTTTAGTAATTCCTATTTGATTTATAGAATTCTTTAAGCATTTGCAGTCAATCTATTTGTTGACTCCAGTGAAGTGAGTTAATAGAATAACATCATAAATTCAGATTTACAAGAAATTGCATTTTCAAGATTTTCATTATAATGTCGTTTTCCTGATAAGTCGCTGATAGCAAGTGACACATCATCTTGCTAGTGTTTAAAATAGCATATTTATAATCATGACTGTTTTCAGTTTTTATACTTCATATGGTACAATAATAATGTAATTTTTTGACACATTTGATTGCAAAGCATTAAATAATTTAATTTTATTGTATTAATAAGTATTATTTCTTACGGTTGAAGATGACTATTTTTTGTATTTGTTGCAGGAACAGTGTGGGCAAAGGAAGGTTATCTGGTGGACGTAAAGGGCTGCAAAAAAAATTGCTGGAAATTGGGAGAAAACGATTTTTGCAATAGGGAATGCACATGGAAGCACATAGGAGGTAGTTCCGGCTATTGTACATGGTTAGCATGCTGGTGCAAAGGTTTGCCCGAAAGTACACAGACTTGGCCCCTTCCTAATAAAACATGCGGCAAAAAATAATGGCAACGACTTTTTAGTGTCCACCAACAGAAATATTATAACGCTTCTTAATTCCAAGTAAATAAAATAAAATGTAATACTTTCATTTGAAATATTTTTATTATGTGATGTACAGTTTACTGTATACAAAAGCATTATTATTTTTTTCGTATGAAATCATTTAACTTTTAATTATAAAAAAATAATACGCTATGTTTATTCTCGTTCTATAAATGAATGTAGCCAACTTGATCTGAAAGACAGACAGGAACCAATTCACTCGTTTATTAGCCTAAATTCACATTTATAAAAATCTTTTAAATAATAATGTGAGGCGTTTGTCGGGGATACGGTGTTGATGAATCTCATGTACTGGTTAATCGGCTTTTCTCTCGGAGAAACAGACAGCGGTCGTCTAAAGATGGCTTACTAAGACGTTTATTATGACCAGGGGCTCTTTTGAACTCAAGGACATTATTTTTTCTGACACCAGATAGTCAAGTTGAGGGGTATCACGTATTTGTGAGGAATTTCGAGAAAGAGAGTCGCGTGTAAATGGAGTAAACAAAGGCATTGGATTTAGTCATTAACGAGACCATATCATAAACAAATAACAAACAAATTTAATTGAATCAAACGACATAACAATACAATTAATAGGAATACAAATCATATATTCTAGACCTACCTCGCAAAGAAAAATCAACTATCTAACTCAACCTATCTAATTAACCTGTACGCGTGAGAGAAAGTTCACATTAATTCTAAGGCCATACTACCTTTACAATATGAAGCTTATTCTTGTCTTCGGTTGTATTTCCGTTCGGGATATGAAAGAAATATGGGTTTCAAATTAGTGTCTTCTCCTCTTCTTGGTTCAGTCCGGGTTATGGAGGTGCGGGAGATGAAATGCACACAACTACCAATTGACTGTTTTATTAATCGCTCCACCGAGCTTCCTGTGATATTCTCTTTTATTTTCTTTTGTCGTGAGAAATCGCGTCACGTGTTCGTGGAATGTCGACGGTTACAATGCCAAGTTGACACTTATGAGTTAATTTTCCCATTGGATTGTTATGACTAATTGTAACCTCTTCTCTAATTCTTCCCGGGATTGTTTTGCTGTGAAATTTGTTTACAAATTTCTCGACAAATTAAAATTTCCGACAAATGAGTCAAGTCGCGGATCTTACACCCACGTGTCGCGTTGTCTTATTCGTATCTATCAATCAACGTTGTTTGCGCAGATATTTAGCAGTCCGGATGTGACCAAATTTGATATGGTAGCATTTCAAAACATGCGAAAGGCGTTTTTCATAAAAACTTATATCGAAACAGACAATTGTGGCTTTTTTGGTGTTGCAAGCAAAAGAAATAGTTTCGTTTGTCGCCACACGTGAAAAATCTGGTTTATTGAAATGCTGCAAATTTGATAGTTTCGAAGATAGTATCACAAGGAATGTGCTGTCGAACAATGTTCATTATCATATTAAGTATTATTCTTTTATAGTTAGNTGTGTTCCTGTTTTTTGCCACGATCGTCAAAGAAAATGTCTTTTGTAGTAGTTGGACATTCGAGTTTCCAAAGCAGAAACAATCGTCCAATTGTTTATGGCATTGTTTCTATTGTTCTATAGCTTTCAATTCAGTTATGTGAGGAACAGAAAATTGTACTTATCAAACAAAAATACTGCATTTAATCGTGCAGTAACACAAATGAGGAAATGGAAAATTAATTTTTGATATTCTTTTGCTTGACATCTTTTACTACAATTATAGCCGTAATTTATTTCGATATGTTCGTATAACTGGTTCTTTTCTGACAAATCGGTTGTGGAAATCACCTTCTGGGATATAATACAGGGACTAATTGTAATATTTGCATTGACTCAAATATTCTTTATGTTATTTTCTATCGGTACTTTATATTATATAATACACGTGGGACTACGACATCTGAGCCAGAAAGTAACTTTAGCTTTATTATTTAACGTACAAAGAATACACCTTCGCATGGAGGAAATAATTGTTATTTTAACTGGGATTTGTGGTATTGTATTCAATATAACAATGAAACAGGAAATTTATAACTAGCATCAATTTACGCATTCTACGTGTATTTTTATCTCTGTATATATCAGCCCCTTTATTCATGGACTTGGGTTGGCTTCTATTTATGGAAATTATGATTATAGCTGCGGTAATACCACTGACTGTTTCCCTATTTGCAAATTCAGTGCAGTAAACATATTTCAGTAAATATATGGCAGTAAATATATAATAAATTCAGTGCAGTAAATAAAATTCGCTTTCTTTCTTTGCAAATTCAGTGCAGTAAATATATGTTGATTCGACTAATACATTTGTTATCTTAAATTTTAATAAGATAAATGTTAATTTAAATTAATCTGACATTAACTCAATATTAACTATTAAATATTTACGGTTATGGAACAGATGGATGATGTTACATGTCATATCTCGGGTGGAGTCGGAGTTAATGAAGATTTTACTCGTTATTTGCACTTACATTTTCTTATAAAGCTCATCCTCACCCTCAAATCTAAGCCTTTTGCAATTTTATAGTAATTAAAAACATAAATTATACTTTTCTGGCTGTTGTATATAACAAAAGGAAAGTATGGCGATCGGTAAAAAAAAAATGATCTTTCTGTGATTTTGACATTTTTGGACTTAGAATATCTTAAAACGTCGAGAAATTCAAAACACATCGGCGTTTTTTTTGAATGTATTGTTGTTAGTGTGCATGTGTGTAAAGCAGGAATTTGCTCACTATCTTTGAAGCTTAATAATGAGTTTGCGGCCGAAGTTCAAACGTTAAACTTGTACGGCAAGCAAAAGTAAACGTTTAACCTTTGAACTTTATGCAAAACACGTTGCACTACACGTTCACTTTCCGCACTGACTCATGGAATTTACATCTGAAACGCTATCGGGACATTCCAATTTTCAACGCGAGTGTTGAGTGTTGAAGTTAACAATTTGACGTCATCAACGACGTTCCAACTCGACTACGAAGTGCTTAGTTCCCATAATTCCATTCTCAGCAAGATGGATTTTATTCAAATGTCTTACCAATTACCCACAATTCATTAGAAAGCAGCAGTCAACATATCTGTTCAGTGCTGAGTGTGTTGAGTCAGCGCTAACAACAGCGCTACCTCAACGTTGAAAAAAGGAACGAATTTTAACGAATGTTGAGATCAGCGCTGAGTCAGCGTTGAAAATTGGAATGTCCCGAATGTTAACCCACACAACACGGACTATGTGTCATCTGTTACTCTCAAGAGAGCTGTTTTCATTATATTCTGGACTGTCCCAAGCTGGAGCATGAGAAGCTCCAATTACGTACTATCATCGACCTCGAGCACGGGCATTGGCCTAATAATGATCAAGACCATCTTAACGACCTGGACAATGATAGGGACACCATTAATCAGCTTACCATTTTTATCAAGCAATATAACAACAGAACCAACGTCCCTACCGGTACCCACGGTTCCAGTTAATCTCCCCTGCTCTGCTCGGCACCTTCTGTCTTGTGCATACACCTGTATATATTGTATCCTTCTTTATTTTTTTGATATTTTGTATTATCATTATGTAATCACCCCATTCTTATTTTCTAAATGTGTATTTTATTGAACTCTATCTTATCATTTATACCTTATTGTACGCGTCTTACATTCACTTTAACATTTATTGTACGCGGTTTCTTTGTTATTATTTTATGTAATCACTCGTCATTCCGCCTACCATTGTAATCATTTGTTATTCTGTCAACCATGAGTATTCATTTTTTACTCTGTTCTTTGGAACCATTTGTCATTCATATGTAATTCTATATCATTTGTATTCTGTAAGCACTTTTACTCCCATGTGAAAACAAATGTGCCATACCTCGCACTCTGTAATACTCATCCAGGGGCCTTAGTTTCGAGTTTTTCGTGTTACAACTCTAAACGTGTTGAAGGTGTCACGTGGTACCATCTCCCACACTGACGTCAAATTGGTAGTCTCGAGTTCTAACTCACGATGAGGGGATGGAAAATTGATTTCTGATATTCTTTTGCTTGACATCTTTTACTACAATTATAGCCGTAATTTATTTCGATATGTTCGTATAACCGGCCCTTTTCTGACAAATCGGTTGTGGAAATCACCTTCTGGGATATAATACAGAAACTAATTGTAATATTTGCATTGACTCAAATATTCTTTATGTTATTCTCTATCGGTACTTTATATTATATAATAAACGTGAGACTACGACATCTGAGCCAGAAAGTAACTTTAGCTCTATTATTTAACGTACAAAGAATACACCTTCGCATGGAGGAAATAATTGTTCTTTTAGCTGAGAGTTGTGGTATTGTATTCAATATAACAATGAAACAGTAAATTTATAACTAGCAGCGATTTACGCATTCTACGTGTATTTTTATCTCTGTATATATCAGCCCCTTTATTTATGGACTTGGGTTGGCTTCTATTTATGGAAATTATGATTATAGCTGCGGTAATACCACTGACTGTTTCCCTATTTGCAAATTCAGTGCAGTAAACATATTTCAGTAAATATATGGCAGTAAATATATAATAAATTCAGTGCAGTAAATAAAATTCGCTTTCTTTCTTTGCAAATTCAGTGCAGTAAATATATGTTGATTCGACTAATACATTTGTTATCTTAAATTTTAATAAGATAAATGTTAATTTAAATTAATCTGACATTAACTCAATATTAACTATTAAATATTTACGGTTATGGAACAGATGGATGATGTTACATGTCATATCTCGGGTGGAGTCGGAGTTAATGAAGATTTTACTCGTTATTTGCACTTACATTTTCTTATAAAGCTCATCCTCACCCTCAAATCTAAGCCTTTTGCAATTTTATAGTAATTAAAAACATAAATTATACTTTTCTGGCTGTTGTATATAACAAAAGGAAAGTATGGCGATCGGTAAAAAAAATTATCTTTCTGTGATTTTGACATTTTTGGACTTAGAATATCTTAAAACGTCGAGAAATTCAAAACACATCGGCGTTTTTTCTGAATGTATTGATGTTAGTGTGCATGTGTGTAAAGCAGGATTTTGCGCACTCTCTTTGAAGCTCA